ATATTCCTGTTTTGTTCAGTGTTTTTATCAAGAAAGTATGTTGGATTTTATGAAATGCCTTTTCTGCATCAATTGAAATCATCATATAGTTTTTTTTTCTTCATTTTATTAATGTAGCATTCATTGTTTTTTTATTTTTTGTATGAAGAATTACCCTTATCTTTCTGTAATAAATACCATGTGGTTGATATGTATAATCCATGTAAAACGTGGTTGGATTTGCTTTGCTAGGTTTTTAGTTTTTATTTTATTTTGGGGGGGATTTCTGCATTCCCTATATTTGTAGGGACGCTGGTCTGAAAATTTTCTTTCCTTTTTTCTTTCTTTCTTTCTTTTTTTTTTAAGACAGGGTCTTGAGCTGGGGCAGTGGCTTACTCCTGTAATGCCAGTATTTTGGGAGGCCGAGGTGGGTGCATCACCTGAGGTCAGGAGTTCAAGATTAGCCAATCAACATGAAGAAACTGCATCTCTACTAAAAATACAAAAATTAGCCAGGTATGGTGGCTGACACCTGTAATCCCAGCTATTCAGGAGACTGAGGCAAGAGAATTGCTTGAGCCTAGGAGGCAGAGGTTGCAGTGATCTGAGATTGTGCCACTGCACTCCAGTCTGGGTGACAGAGTGAGACTCCATCTCAAAAAAAAAAAAAAAAAAAAATACAGGGTCTTACTCTGTCACCCAGGCTGGAGTACAGTGGCATGATCACAGCCCACTGCAGCCTCAAACTCCTAGGCTCAAGCAACCACTCCTGGCCAGTTGGCAAATTTTCTTCTCTTGTGATACCCTGGCATCAGGTACTATGTATATGGCTTTGTGGAATGAATCAGAAAATGTGAGATTCTGTCTTAAAATAAATAAATAAATGAAAAATAGATGTAATTATGCTGACTATTGGAATCAGTAAATTATCTCACCAAAAATAGTCTCTCAGTTGTTTTTAGAAGAATATGGTTATCCCTTATAAATATTTATTTGCATTCCCTAAGTGATTAGAGAGGGCTTTAACAGTGTTTCTATGCCTTCTCAAATACGTGAGAATGAAAAAATTTGTGCTAGGACTTTTTCTGGATGTGCATGAGTCCACACTCTTTGCATTGCTGGATTTGAGTCTTCACAGGTAATTAATTGTCTGACATCATCATTGTGTACACTCTGAGTACCTCTAAAGCAGTATGTTTGTTCTTTAGAAAATCTATTAACTATCCCATAGTGCAACATTAGAAATGACTTCTGAAACTGGCCGCAGAAACAACTGCACAGCATTTAGTAGCAGAGCCACGCAGATCTGGTGAGAGTCCGACATGAGGAAGAGACGCGACACGGAACGGTGTGACAAGGGATAGTGATTTAATAGATTTGAGCTGGGCCTGGTGGCTCATGCCTGCAATCCCGGCACTTTGGGAGGCTGAGGCCAGAGGATCTCTTAAGCCCAGGAGTTTGAAATCAGCCTGGACAACACTGAGAGATCTCATCTCATCTCAACAACTTTTTTCTTTTCTTTTTCTTTTTGTTTGAGATGGAGCCTCACTCTGTCACCCAGGCTGGAGTGCAACCTCCACCTCCCGGGTTCACGCGTTTCTCCTGCCTCAGCCTCCTGCATAGGTGGGTTTACAGGGGTGTGCCACCACACTTGGCTAAGTTTTGTATTTTTAGTAGAGATGGGGTTTCACCATATTGGCCAGGCTGGTCTCGAACTCCTGACCTCAAGTGATCTGCCCACCTCGGCCTCCTAAAGTGCTGGGATTACAGGCATGAGCCACTGTGCCCAGCTAAAAAAATCATATTTTTAATTAAAAATAATAAATGGGTCTGACCAGAAATGGCTGCCTGAAATTTCAGGACACATGACAAAGCCCATCCTTACTTTTTAAATTTTTTCAGATGTTGTTCTAACCACTTTATTTGCTTTTTCTCAATTCCTTGCAGCAACCCTATAGGGCAGGGGCTGTGGTATCCCTGCTGTGTAGACACGGAGGCTGAGGCTCAGAGAGTTTACATGCAAGGGTAGTTAGCTACCAGGCTGACTCCAAAATCCATATTCCTGAGTGCCAGAGTGTTTAGCTCCTATTAACCCCTGTCAGATGGTGTCACCGCCCTGTAGGACCAGAATCAAAACAAAACAAATGGCCCCTTTAGAAATCTTCCTTCCGTTTGTTGCCGCGGTGGACGCAAGTTTTTTCTTTTTGGCAGGTGCTGTGCTCCTGGCTCAGTAACAGCCCAAATTATGAAGAGTCAAATTTATATTGACTCTGGCTGGGTGCAGTGGCTCACACCTACAATCCCAGCACTTTGGAAGGCCGAGATCATGCTACTGCACTCACTGCACTCCAGCCTGGGTGACACAGTGCACTCTGCCTCAAAAAAAAAAAAAAAATTTATATTGACTCTATAGCAATCAGTTGTTTTTAGGAGGATGTGGTTGTCCCTTATAAATATCACCAAGTGGCACCTGGGCTGGAAATCCACGTTCTCAGACCAAGTACAGGCACATCCATTTGTCAAGGACAGTTTTTTCTTTTTTTTTTTTTTTTGAGACAGAGCCTTGCTCCGTCGCCCAGGCTGGAGTGCAGTGTCGGGATCTCACTCACTGCAGCCTCTGCCTCCAGGGCTCAGGCAGTTCTGCTTCAGCCTCCCGAGTAGCTGGGACTACAGGTCTGCACCACCACACCCAGCTAGTAAAGGACAAATTTAATGAAGCACCTCATGTATCATGAACAGGGCAGCGTCCTCCAATGTTGGTAAGTGAGGGTGTCTGTTTTGGATGTTCTGGCCCTGAGTTTCATATTTTACACATATAAATGATGCAGAGTCCTCCGGCTCCCGCAGGCAGCCTAAACCTTAGGCCACACCTTGGGTGGAGACAGATTCTTACCCTCCCGACTGGGTAGTGGCCAGCTGGTGCTCACTGCCAGGTCTGCCTGACTGGGAAGAGCATTTTTCCCTGAATGGGAAACGCTGAACTGACTTAAGCTGGATTCAGATGCTGCCGGTCTAACCCTGGGTGGCCTTCTTAATCACTGTGCTCTGTGGCCTTTTAAGCCTCATGCAGGCTTCTGCTCAGCCAGCCCTGAGAAGCTACTCAGGTGCTGCATCTTACAGTGTGAAGTCAGGCAGTCTAACACTTAGAGATGGCTCACCCTCACTCAGCCCCATTTTACCTGTAGAACAGTAAGATGGCCATCACAGGCTTCAAGAGGGCTTGAATTCGTGTTTGTTTCCAGCTTTCAATAGGTGGTGGCTGTGTTGGTAGAAGCAGGCAGTTCACTACACTAAGTATTCCCAAGTTCTAGGTAGGCCATCCTGCTAGATCATGAGCACCTGAGAGTGTGTTCATGTGTCTACAACTGGGAGCCTGTTTCAACCAGATATGTGCGCCAGTGTGCGGCCATTGGAAGACAAAGGCCAGTGTTGCTCCTCAGTCGATTACCAGCATTGGAAAGGGGGCATCAGACCGTGTTTCACAGATAAGCCCGTGAGGCCCAGCGCCTATTCGAGGGCACTTAGTTAAAGGGTGGCAGCTGGGACTGAAGTCTTTATTTCCCGATTCTTTTTTTTTTTTTTTTTTTTTTTTTTTGAGACGGAGTTTCACTCTTGTTACCCAGGCTGGAGTGCAATGGCGCGATCTCGGCTCACCGCAACCTCCGCCTCCTGGGTTCAGGCAATTCTCCTGCCTCAGCCTCCAGAGCAGCTGGGACTACAGGCACGTGCCACCATGCCCAGCTAATGTTTTGTATTTTTAGTAGAGACGGGGTTTCACCATGTTGACCAGGATGGTCTCGATCTCTTGACCTCGTGATCCACCCGCCTCGGCCTCCCAAAGTGCTGGGATTACAGGCGTGAGCCACCGCGCCCGGCTTCCTGATTCTTTAATTCCTGCTACTTACTGTGTCTTTTCAAGCATTTTACAATGTGAAGAGCTAGCAACGTAGTGCAGCCAGCCTGACTTTCCCACGGTGCGAAGGCAACACGCATTGGGCAGGCTGTTTGAAACCTGCCATAAATTGAAAATATCCAAGTAGAAAATGCACTTTGGGTCTGAGCTACTGGCAGAAATCTTACCTGTCTCCCAAAAGGGACCCAGCTACTTTAGGTTCAAGGCATTTCTTGGAATATTTAGCAGGGCAAGGGCCTGGAACTAAAAACGCGTCTAACGCAAGATGCCGCCACACGATGGCACTGCTTCTGTAGATCTGGAAGAAACGCGGGCGCCGGAGCTGGCGGGGGGCGCCGGGCTCAGTGGGGTCGGGGAGCTGCGTCCGGACGGGGTGCCCGCACTTCGAGGGGCCGGCGGAGGACGCAAGGTCGTGAGCGCGTCTCCCCCATTTGCTCTGCTCTTAGCGAGGGGGTCCCGCCGCCCTTTGGGCCGGGACGCAGCAGCAGCCTTGCTGGGCCGGACTGGGGACCTCCGAGGAAAGCAGCTAGAACCGGCCCAGATTCCCCGAGGCGCCCGAATGCGGTGCGGGCAGCCCTCCCCGCCCGCCAGGCCACCGCCCGGAGACTGTGTTTGTCCCCACGTCCCGACCCCATGTCCGGCCCCCCGCTCCTATTTCCGCATCTGGTCCCACAGTGGAGGGGCCGGGCGAGGGTCTCAGGCGTGTGGTCACGGTCGGGGGAGTCCTTGGACGCGCGGGTCCCCTCCCGCGGGTTCCCACCCCCGCCCTCCAGCGACGGGAGCCGGCCCAGGACGCGCGCGCCGCGGCCAAGTCCTGGTTTTGATTTCACTCCCAGCCCCGAGGAGCTAGGAGGTTCCAAGCCCACAAACAGGAAGAAGAGAAGGCCCTGGAGTGCGGGCAGAGGGAGTGTCATTCCCAGCGGCGCGGGCCGGGCGGGGGCAGCAGCGCGCACCCCCTCCTGCAGCGCGGGCTGGGGGTCCCCAGGGCCGGGAGAGGGCCCCGGGGAGGAGCAGAGAGAGGGCGCGCCCCGGGAAGGCTCGGCGCGGCTCCGGGGGCTCCCAGGGCGCTCCCGCCCCTTCCCCCGCGGCCCCGGGGCGGGGCGTGCGCGTCAGCCCGGGCTAGAAAAGGCGGCGAGGCTGGGCCCAGCGAGGTGACAGCCGCGCTTGGACGCAGAGCCCGGCCCGACGCCGCCATGAGCGCCGCGCTCTTCAGCCTGGACGGCCCGGCGCGCGGCGCGCCCTGGCCAGCGGAGCCCGCGCCCTTCTACGAGCCGGGCCGGGCGGGCAAGCCGGGCCGCGGGGCCGAGCCGGGGGCTCTTGGCGAGCCGGGCGCTACCGCCCCCGCCATGTACGACGACGAGAGCGCCATCGACTTCAGCGCCTACATCGACTCCATGGCCGCTGTGCCCACCTTGGAGCTGTGCCACGACGAGCTCTTCGCCGACCTCTTCAACAGCAATCACAAGGCGGGCGGCGCAGGCCCCCTGGAGCTGCTGCCCGGCGGCCCCGCGCGCCCCTTGGGCCCGGGCCTCGCGGTTCCGCGCCCACTCAAGCGCGAGCCCAACTGGGGCGACGGCGACGCGCCCGGCTCGCTGCTGCCAGCTCAGGTGGCCGCCTGCGCGCAGACCGTGGTGAGCCTGGCGGCCGCCGGACAGCCCACCCCGCCCACGTCGCCGGAGCCGCCGCGGAGCAGCCCCGGGCCGACCCCCGCGCCCGGCCCTGCGCGGGAGAAGAGCACTGGCAAGAGGGGCCCGGACCGCGGCAGCCCGGAGTACCGGCAGCGGCGCGAACGCAACAACATCGCGGTGCGCAAGAGCCGCGACAAGGCTAAGCGGCGGAACCAGGAGATGCAGCAGAAGCTCGTGGAGCTGTCGGCCGAGAACGAGAAGCTGCACCAGCGCGTGGAGCAGCTCACGCGGGACCTGGCCGGCCTCCGGCAGTTCTTCAAGCAGCTGCCCAGCCCGCCCTTCCTGCCTGCCGCCGGGGCCGCGGACTGCCGGTAACGCGCGGCGGGGGCGAGAGAGACTCAGCAACGACCCATACCTCAGACCCGACGGCCCGGAGCGGAGCGCGCCCTGCCCTGGCGCAGCCAGAGCCGCCGGGTGCCCGCTGCAGTTTCTTGGGACATAGGAGCGCAAAGAAGCTACAGCCTGGACTTACCACCACTGAACTGCGAGAGAAGCTAAACGTGTTTATTTTCCCTTAAATTATTTTTGTAATGGTAGCTTTTTCTACATCTTACTCCTGTTGATGCAGCTAAGGTACATTTGTAAAAAAGACTTCTCAGACAAACCCTTTGTATTGTAGATAAGAGGAAAAGACTGAGCATGCTCACTTTTTTATATCAATTTTTACATTATTCGTAAGAATAAAGCAGCATTTGAAATCTCCCCTGCTTCCTATGTTCACAGCAACTCCTGCACGCCCGCCGGTGGCGCAGGACCCGGCTGGGGAAGGGTGCATTCCGGACCCGCAGCCAGCGAGCACGCACCTGGGAGCCCGGGCGCCAGGTGTGTGGTGTGTGTATGGGCGAGCACGCACCTGGGAGCCCGGGCGCCAGGTGTGTGCGTGTGTGTGTGTGTGTGTGTGTGTGTATGGGCGAGCACGCACCTGGGAGCCCGGGCGCCAGGGGTGTGTGTGTGTGTGTGTGTGTGTGTGTGTGTGTATGTGTATGGGCGGGGGGTGGGGCGGAGGCCCGAAGTGCTCAGGAGAGAGGGTGTGCGTCGCTTCTGAAACGCGCTAAAGGCTCCCTCCTGGCTTTAGCTTGCCTAAGCCCAGTGGAGCACGAGGTCAGGTAAGCTAGCAGCTTTCCAGCAGAAGGTGCTCTCCCAGAGAACCCAGACCTGGGGAAGGGTTGGCTGTTTGGGGGGGCCCTGCTGAGAACAGTCCAAGAGCGCCCTAACTATAGAGGCTGCTGGACGGGCGAGGGGCTGTAGGAGGACTCAGGCCAACCAGAAGCCTGGCTGAATCATCTCCCGCTTTCCCGGGAGTTTGCTTTCACTTTCCTCAGTCATGTGGACGAGTCAAGTAGATTTTCTACGTGCGCCAGAAAGGACAGAATAGTCATGTAGTGGATGAAAAGGGCAGTCACACAACTGCTGAAGACCGGCTATCCTGCCAGTAATTTGCAATGTTTAAGGTTTAATTTCCCCCAAAAAGGCCCTCTGCTTTTACCCCAAGAACACTTGGTATTAGGCACCACTTCCTGGTCATGGGCTGCTACGTGTATATTATGTAATTAACCATAGCATGTCATGATTATATTGGTATAAGGAGGGGGAACAAAATCTTTAGTTTCCAAAGATAATTCTTGGTTTAAATCTCTGCCAACAAAGCAAATGATAACCGACTGCTCCTTAGTCTGTGATCTTTGCTCTCCGTGCACGTGACCCAGCCTGATTAAACAGGCGTGTGTTGGAGCCAGCTATCCCCACCTCCATTCAGCAGAGTCACAATCACACCGGTTCAGATAGCTACACTTTATGGGTAGCAATTTCACCTCTGATACAGTTCCCTGGAAAATTTTCCCGAAGTAGTGAATTGCAAAATACTTAGGTTTGACATTTATTGTAGCAGAACAGTAATATCACAATATAGGACAAAAGTTACACTTTGCAGGGTACTCTTTGGGGGAATGTTAAAACATACGGTAAGAAACACATGCTCAATCATGGTAAAATGTTCAACGTGTTAAAATTGCAAATGAACAGAATTTTTCTGATACTGCATAAAATACTAAATGAGCTCAAGCTTAAGATTCAACGTGAAAACAAGTCAATATGTCCATAAATTTGTAGAAAATAAAAAACATAAAAACTGTATTAAAGGGTATTTTGATTTATAAGTTTACAAAACTTACATCTTAACATTTCCTCAGAAAAATCTAAGTTTCAAGATTGTAAACTCTGTTCACTGTGTCCATAGTTAACAAATAACTACCCCAGATTACCAGCAGCATCACCCTCGCAGCCACATTGCAAAGTTCACAGACCCTGCGGCCACTGCTGGTGTTCTGCAGGGGCCCCCTCGGCACTCAGAAGCTCGATTTCCTCCAGTCCAATGCAGCTCGTGGGGTGGGTGGTTAAGGACTGGACAAAACAATTTAACAACCCCACCTCCTTTCCGAGGACACTCTTCACTTCGTAGCTCTGCAGTGATAAAGGCACACTGGTTAAAGCAAACAGCCTGGAACGTTCTGTTCCCAACAACACAGAAAACCAGAGAGCCAGCGTGGAAGGCCCTTTCCCCAGTCCACGACCTTCCACTCCTCAAATGGCTGAGAACAGTGGTAGGAAGGAGAAACAAATGAGAACCGCTATAAAAAAAAAAAAAGCCCATTTATTTTGGCAAGTGTAGGAACTACCTACCCTGTTCTGGGAACTGAATTCTGTTTTCACTTGGGACAAGATGCACACAGGCTCTGCTGGGAAGGCAGGGGCTGGGCGTGCAGTGCCCACAGCTGTCTCCCACTTCCTTTGGGACACTTCCCCAATCTAGCAACACTTCCGGTCAAGGGATTTCCTGGTGCCTTGCCCCAAACTTCCTTCCTTAATAGGATCCCATTTCTTCTAGAGTTACACTGGGCTAAAATTCTCCGTAGTTTTTGTCACGAGACCATGAGACTTAGCTTTTTCTTTGCATTCTTTTTTTTTTTTTTTTTGAGACAGTGTTGCTCTATCATCAGGCTGGAGTGCAGTGGCGCGATCCTGACTCACTGCAACTTCAGTTTTCAGGTTTCAAGCAATTCTCCTGCCTCAGCCTCCTGAGCAGCTGGGACTACAGGCATGCACCACCACGCCCAGCTAATTTTTTGTATTTTTAGTACAGACAGGATTTCACCATGTTGGCCAGGATGGTCTTGATCTCTTGACCTCGTGATCCACCGGCCTCAGCCTCCCAAAGTGCTGGTACATTCTTCTTCTTTAGTCCCAGATGCGTTTCATCTCCAGATGAGACAAGTACAGGGAGCCCTGGCCCCCATCCCTGACGAGGCTGAGAGGGTTTGGTGCACCCCATTATAGATCAAGCTGCAGAGTGTTTGCCGTTGGAGCTAGGGCTGAAAATAAAGGCTCAAAAGCACTGCAATATTCCCTATCTGGCCTTCTGGGAGGTTAAAGCTCTAGAACGCAGTGCCACTTGCAGAGTAATATCGTGTTGACCCTAAAGCCCTCCTCTGTGCAAGGCACTTGGCAGTTGCTACAACAGTTCCACTTGGTATCTATTAATTCATTCTTCCCATCATTATGATGTTATAGCTAAAGAGACTGAGGCTGGAGAAGCCAGACAACGTGGCCAAAGCAGGCAGAGTGTGGCTCCTTGGTGCCCTTCCCTTCAAAGGTGTGTGTTTCACTGCCTTTCCCCAAGTCTCAGCTGGCCTGTGTCTGGCGTCTCATGAACAGAGTGCAGTGGAAAGGATACCAAGTGACATTCCATGGTTGGTTAGGAAAGGTGCCCAGCTTCCAGCTGACCCTTGGGATCCACACACATACTGTGAGGGGGTCTAGCCAGAGCTGTGGCCTGGACATAGGAACCTTCCAGCCTTGGGGACACCCGCTAATGCCCAGTGGAGCCAAGGGGAGCTGTCCTGATGGAACCCTGTCCAAACAAGAGTTCTGTGCACAGAATGAATATTGATGCCACCACCAAGTTTTGAAATGGTTTGTAACAATAAATGTCAAGATCAGTCTGGGATGTGAACACTACTGATGCCGACTTGTAGGGGGACTTTCATTTTCCCGTTTGCAAGACAGCCATGGTGCCTATTTACTGTGCCTTGTCGTGTTTTGGCTTCTTGGTGAAAAAGAATAAGGTCAACAGGATGGTTTAATGTAGTGATGGGGACAGTGGGGATTACTGGTCAAGACAGGCAAAGAGACAGAACTAGGCAGTGGAAGCTGAGCCCTTCCTAAGGGTTCTGAGTGGCATGGACACCAAGTGCAGCTGCTCACTTACTCATACGTGAGGGTTTATCACAAGCCCATGTGGGGCTGTCGCTGAAGAGACGGCAGCGAGCAAGATAGAGCCTCCAGGTTGCTGGTCTGGAGGAGACACCAGGGGGTGCAGAAGCAGGGGGTCGCCGCATAGGGAGGGAGGGTGGAGGCGGCGTGCTGGACACCCTTCTGGTCTTTTTTTTTTTTTTGAGATAGAGTTTCACTCTTGTTGCCCAGGCTGGAGTACAGTGGTGCCATCTTGGCTTACTGCAACCTCCGCCTCCTGGATTCAAGTGATTCTCCTGCCTCAGCCTCCCGAGTAGTTGGGATAACAGGCGTGTGCCACCATGCCTGGCTAATTTTATATTTTTAGATGGGGTTTCTCCATGTTGGTCAGGCTGATCTCAAACTCCCGGCCTCAGGTGATCTGCCTGCCTCAGCCTCCCAAAGTGCTGGGATTACAGGTGTGAGCCACCACGCCCAGCCGCTGGTCTCTTACAGTTTCAGTTGTCTTGCATATTTGTGCAAGTGTGAAACAGAAGACTTCTGGAGTAAAAGTACGCGATTCTGACTTGGAAAAAGTCAGCAGAAAATCATTTAATTGTGAAACATTAGGTTTGGCTATATCATCTGTAAATGGAGTTTAAATTTTTTTTTTTTTTTTTTTTTTGAGACCGAGTCTCATTCTGTCACCAGGCTGGAGTACAGTGGTACAAACTTGTCTCACTGCAAAGTCTGCCTCCAGGGTTCAGGTGATTTTCCTGCCTTGCCTCTCAAGTAGCTGGGATTACAGGTGCATACCGCCATGCCTGGCTAATTTTTGTGTTTTTAATAGAGATAAGTTTTTGCCATGTTGGCCAGGTGAACTCCTGACCTCAGGTGATCCGCCCGATTGGGCCTCCCAAAGTGTTGGGATTATAGGCATCAGCCACTGTGCCCAAATAATAAATCTTTTATGTGTGGGAGAAATTAACATGAAGAGGTTAAAACAACCATATCAGCAAACTCCCAAGCACTATTCATATGAATGTGGGTCTGCACATGTATAAAATGTGTCTCTCTTTTAAAAAAATCACTATATATGTTCTTTTAACTTTTCCTTTTCTAAAAGTTAAGGAAACACACTTCAAGTTCCATGTCACAATAATGTTACTATTGAGAAATGAGATGCACAACTATAGACAATCCTATTGTTTTTACATCTGCAGCCTGACCACATTACAGTAAAGGCATAAAACTTAACATTCATGCATCTTAACTGAAACAGTTATGTTTGCCCCAGGGAATGGAGTTACGGTTCTTGTGGAAAGTCCCTATTTGATTCTCTGAATTTTGGTGAATGTGCATGCTCACCCAGAAAACTGACAGAATCCATACTGAGTATGTGTCAGCTCATGTCTCCACCCAGTCCCCTCTGGCACCCATTTTCTATCAGCTTCTTTCCAGATCGGTGGTAAAGA